TGGTGCTTTTATCAACTCATTAGAAGGATTAAAGTAGACGAGATATACACAAATTTAAAAATTATGTGTGATCATAACTTAATTAAAAACAAAAATCACAGATCAAAAAAAAAAAAAATGACAACTCTGCAGCAGGCCTTAGGAGAGAATGACATGAGATTGTGCATGCAAAACACCCAACCCATTGCCTGGCCCGTAAGAAATATAGCCGTGATGTTATTGCCACTGTGATGACACCACACAGAAGATGCTGATGACACTGTGAAATTTAAACTAATTAATTTGAACTCCCACTGTTGGTTGTATCAGGTTCACCCCCTCCCAAGCCCTTGTTTTCCTAGGCTCTACATACTCCAATTTTGTCCTACCTGGAATTCCCAGAGTCACAGGTGTGCTCACCCACCTCTGCTCTCAGTCTCTGTTTCTAGCAGAACCCACAGAACACAGCCCCTTACACTCCACTTACAGGATCACGCAGAGCAGTGTTTATGGAGCAAACCTTATTAAAGATACAGGGTAAAAGGCAGGGGGGTTGAGTGCAGAGTGAGAGGCTTATAGAGCCACACAGGATGGTGCAAATCTTGAGAGGACATGTTAGACACCCCTGATCTTTACATGACATCCCCCCATGGCCTAATTCCCTCCAGCCTCCCACTGAAAGGGTGAGGTGCCATCCCTCCTAAGGCTTTCCTCAGTTCTCTTCCCTCCCTACATGCCTGGTTTATTTCCTCTGCAGGGAAGTTTAACTATCTCTTTGTTTTAAATTCCCAACTGTTCACCTTCTGTTCACCCAGGTGTTTTGCCAAACAAAGAGCCTGTGCTCAGGAGGAATGCATGCCTTCGGGAAAGATGCAGCTGTAGTCTGTTATGATTTTAAATATTGGCTTTCCCCCTCTCTGCTACAATTACAATCACTCCCGAAACATGCCTAGGAGAGATGTGACACAGTCAGACAAGCATGTGAGAGGGATAATTTTGGTGACGATTTAGAGGCCGTTTCTGGAGAGCAAATGGTAAGACCAGAGGGTGGGAAATCAGGCAGTATGACTTTCCCAATAGACTGGATGACAGAGGATTGAGACTGGACAGGGCCGGGCAGAGAGGGTAGAAACGAGAGGCCTGATCAGAGGCACATTTACAGAATAGGATCAATAGGCTTGATGATAGATTGAAAAAGTTGTTTTGGCGGGGGGCAGGCAGTGAGAGGCAGGGACCAGAGAGTAGTAGCGGTGTCCAGTAAAAGTATGTGTCAGGGAGGTGGTGGCCAGTTGTGCTAAATGCAGTGAGGAGGTCAGCCAGGAACCAAGGCATGCCTAATCCATCTTTTGACAAAAGGGGCACCACCGGTGGAGGACTCTCCATGGCAGGCAGAAAGCTGACTGCAAAGGTCACAGCAGAAAGGGGAGGAAAGGAAGTGGTGACAGTAAACACGGAAGATATTTTCAAGAAGCCTGGTGTAAGAGTAAGGAGACACAGAGCACTATCTCGACAGGGATCTAGAGGGATTCTTTTAAGATGGAAAAATCTAAGTTGTCTCTAAACTGAAATGAATGTGCCAAAGTCAGGAGGGCAAAGCTAAGAGCTCTCTTATAGAATATAAGAATATAATACAAGAATATAAGAATAAGAGGAGATAGTCGATGGGGCAATGTCCCAAAGAGGCAGGAAGGGCTAAGATTAAAGCCACAGTGTGGTCTGCATGTGAGAGGGACACCTCTGGCAGCTTCAGAAACAGAGCCTATTACATGCTGGGCCCCGAGTTTGATGAGAGGGAGGTCGGGATGGGTTCGGAGCCTGCAGGAATGGGGAATCTGCAGCCTTGGGGCCACATGTGGCCTTCTGGATCCTTGAGTGCGGCCTTTTGAGTGAATCTGAATTTTTACAGAACAAATCTCAGACCTTCATGGGGCAGGGAAGAAGAAGGAAGTTAAAGAGATCCACATGCAGTTGCTCCTATTTTCTCTGAAATATGAAGGAAGGTCATTTCTGGATGAAAGCACAGAGGGGTAGCGCAGTGTTGGGGAAGTGAGAACAGGGTTCGATGTATACAATTGCTGGTGAGATGCATGGAAGGTGTTCTTGAAGACCAGGGGTCTTTAAGTTCTGGGCATTGTTGAGAGTGAAGCTGAAACTGATAACTGAAGTCTCTGAAGTTAACGCCAATCTATATGTTCAGCAGTCTGTTTACAAAAGGAAAGAAGATGGCCTGCAAAATAACTCATATTTTCAGGCAGATCCAGAGCAGTAGAAGAAAAAGGAAACAAGGTTGTGGAGGATATTTAAAGTGATACATCATGGCATCTCACCTGGATACTTCCCGAGTGAAACCAGAAGGAGCTAAAATAGAATGAGATATTTTTGTTTAAAGGTGACAGATTTAACACGGTTTTTATCTCTGCAATCTCCCCAAACCCTACTAGAATAGCAGGAAAGGGATTTTTATAGAGGGCATAAGCCCAAATGACAAAGGAAAATGGGAGTAGAGGCAATGGTAACTCCATTTTGGAAGCTGAAAGCAAGTGAACAGTGGCAATTGGCTTAGCTAAAATCCAAGTCTGAAATTAGAAGAACAGGGTATCTCTGAAAAGGGGAATGCAGGAAGGGATAAGAATAGAAGAACTGACTGGGTGTCTTTTTGAGAAGCATATAGATCCCCAGGTCCTGTCCCCAACCTGAGCACAAAACAAGAAGTTTATGATCTGGAAAGGATAAAACAGAGGTCTTTGGGCTGGAGGACATGTCCATGGAAAGAAAGTGAGGACAACCCCCACATTGCAAGAATCCTCTCTATGACTCTTTTTGTGCCTGTTGGCTGGTAAATATTCGAACATTTGGCAGAATTTGGTGTAATGTTTATCACCAGATAGCAAAGTTGTGGGAAGAGACACTTAGAGCTACAGGCCATGGGTAGAGAATCTAAAAGATGTGGAATGTCCATACTGGAAAATCAGTAGATAATGCTTAAAACTGAAAAATCAAGTAGTAATATAATACCATTCTTCAGGAAAAGATCAAAAGAATCAGCTAAAGGAGTAAAGTGAGAGTGGGAGAAGGGGACAGGAGACCAGAAGATTGCTACTTACCTAACATTTTAGAGAATCATTTGACTTCTTAAACTATGTGTATGTATAGCTTTGATAAAATAAACATTAAATGAAAAGATTGGAATAGAATATAGTGGGGCATAACAAAGGAGGCTCTTCCCACTCCATGCACTGAAAAGGTTTGGGACCCCTTTCCAACTACATTAACTTAGTGAACACCCATATGACTTACAAGACAGATACAACACAAAGTACCAATTTACGGCAGGCTAAAAGCTGAGACATCGAAGAGCATCTTCACCCCGCTCAGCTACCACAAGTGATCTGCTAATAATAAGAATGGCAGATTCCTTAGCTGATCATTTCAAAGAAGTTCTGTTCTCTGGGGGATGGGAGACAAAACAGCCTGGAAAGTATGCACAGACTTGGAGAACTGGTTTCCAAGTACATGTGTGTGTGGAGCGCGCGCACATCTTTCCTACCTACATAAAAAGAACTTTGTGCTGGGAAGAAGGGAGCAGAGGAGACAGAGTTATGGAAGAATAATAGAGTGATAAGTGGTGGAACACCCCTCCCTCTCAACATGAGTGCTGATATGAGGAGAAAGGGAAGGAAAAAAAGGAAAATTTCCCCAGGGTAGAGGAAGAGCATCTAAGAGAAAGGAAGAGCATCTAAGAGAAAGGAAGATTTTGGGGCGCAATTTCCCAGCTGCAGTTGCTCATGTGGGTCCTGCACCTCCTGATAAGATGAAGCAAGAGAAATGGTGGCATGGTGCATTGAGACACAAGCAGGTCTCATGTGGGTCAGAGGACTTCTGTGAACTCATCATGAGGCACAAGTTAGCTGGCAGTAAGACCCAGGATGGCCTGGATTGGGGGACAGACACCTACCCGCTGCAGGTATGAACTTGGCCTACTCCCGAAAGTAAGGGAGGGACAGGCCTTACCCCTAAAAGTGAGGGAAGGACAAGACTGTGCTCTATAGGATGGAACAGAATATGCCACTGACCAGAGCTGTGACAGCTGTCATCTCTGAGAGAGCACCACAGACCACAGGACATCAGTAGCTGACTATGACATGGGTCCCTGAAACATACGAGACCTAAAAAGGGACTCACTTCTCCCTCCTGGAGGTAACTTTGCTAAAGAGCAAAGCTTTCAGATTATACCAGAGCAGGGAGTACAAAGGAATTGCAGATGGAGCTCCGAGCTCCAATTTGATAATCACCCCAAGTTTTTGGCTGAGCAGTTAAGGGGTGGGGCTGCATGCACCAGATTCAGGTTATCCTCCAGGGGTTAGGGTCACAGGGTAAGAAATTAAGACCAGTTCAAGAAATTACTAAGGCTCCATTTTTGCACACTTGAGTTTTGTAAATGGCCATAACTGACTGTTATTTATGTTATACTTGTTAATATTCTTTGATTTGAGAGGTCACAGAGGCCTGCAAAACCTAGTTGTCATAATA